TCACTGAATACCCTTTGCACTTTTTCCTGATTATTGTACCATTTCACATAAAATAGTGACTGGTGGGGAGATGGCTCAATAGTAGAATACTTGCCTTGAGTTTAATCCACAGCACCACAAAACAAAACAAAATAAAACTGGTAAATAGTCAGGACATGTTGGCTATAGGTGGAGAACATGATACACAAAACTAGCTAGGATATCAGATGATAGAGGCCTGAAATAAATATCCAGAAGAAGAAAAAAATAAAAAAGGAAAAAGACCTGACTGGCTATAGACCACTGAAACAATGTGGTTTAAGAACACATTTAGTGGAGCATGGTGGCACAAACCTGTAATCCCAGAACTTGGGAGGCTGAGGCAGGAGGATTGCTGCAAGTTCAACACCCATCCTGGCTACACAGTGAGTTTAAAGCTCATCTGAATTACATAGTGAGACCCTGTCCAAAAAAACAAAACACACATACATTTGACTGGGATAACAAACTGGAAATTAGTAGGCAAAGAAAGGCAATGGGAGGGGATCCATCACCACAGACCAAGCAACCTTACAAGCAAAGTATTTAATGACAGTGTCTTCAAGGACAGCCAGGAGGTCCTTGTGGTTGAACTATAGAATGTAGGGTATGGGTAAAAAAAGGTGTGATGAGAGATGAAGTTAAAAAGAGACCTCATAGGAGAATAAAAAACTGCTTTCAACTCCAGGCTAAAATGTTTAGACTTTACTATATGGCAAACCAATGTGAAGTAACATTTAAGCTGAGCCCTTCAGTGCAAAAGGAGCAAGCCACGTGGAGTAGGCTTGAGGAATGGGAAGAACACTGGAGATTAATATTCAAAGGCCTAACAGTACATACTGTGGTCAAAGAAATGAAATGCATCTGGGATACCTTCAGCCAAGCAAGATAAGAGGAGAGTAGCAAAACATCAGGCTGGCAAGACAAGCAGAAGTCACATTACGCAGGGCATAGGAGTCTGGATTTTATAATGCAACATGGAAAAAAATCATTGAAGGCTTTACACAGAAAGGATGTGATAAGACTAGATTTACATATTAAGAAGTTCTGCTCCTCAGTGGAAAATAAGCTGAATGAATGAGGGTGAAGGCAAGAGTAGAAGCAGAAAAGGTAAACTGAAAGAAGGTGACAGTAGAATCTACTGCATCCAATCTAAAAGGACTTCCACTTGGGTGAAATGTTTCTATATTCTGAAAACTGGTATAACTTTCAAAATACAAATAACTTTTATAAATGCAGTTCAATAATTTGACATATATGAAGCTGTATTAAGGGCTGGGAATATGCAGGAGCTTACAGTTCATGGGGATACAATTACAATACAGTGAAATAAAACCTGTAACTTCACAGATGCATACAGGGCACATTTCTAAAGGAAGGAGCACTCTTCCAAACTTGTTTCTATGCATTACCTGTAATCCACAAAGAATTCATTTCACAAATATCTATAAGTGCCTCTTACGTGTCAGGTAGCAAACAATAAGTGAAACAACAATGAGTTTGATGTGCCCCCATTTCCCTTCACTGAAGTAAAAACATGGTAGAAAGCATAAAAGGGTATTATCTCATTAGCTTTAGCATCTTTAGCAACAACAAAGTAAAACCATAAACCAGTTGCATTGGAAAATATATTTCAAAAGATAACAGACTAAAATGACAAGGAAATAGGCAAAGAAAGTGCCATGAAGAAAGGAGCAAATCCAGACATGGGGATACAGGAAAACTGGAGTCTTTTCAACAAGGTAATGCAATGGGAATGGTAAGATTTTCCTGCATTAAAAGAAATTTTAAAGCTACATGCAACGAGTCTATTAACAAATCAACTGTAAAAGACATGCGCAAAATTACTAGTGGGAAAAGAGATCTGAATTTGAATTAGCCAGATCACATTAGCAATGGTCCTACTCTTAGCTATGAGCTAATAACAAGTATGATTTTGTAGAGCTGCATTATAGCTAGAAACTAGGGGTGACAAGTTTTGACACTTTTACAATAAAGAAAAATGTATACAACAAATAGTTCGTGATGTAAACGTTTGTTAAATAAAAGTGATGGTGACTGGAGTGCACTTCAACGACAGAACACGTGGTCCTGAGTTCAATCCCCAGGACTAACAAGTAAAAAATAAATGACAGTTGTGCAGATATTGTGTGGCCTTTAGTAGGGCGTGAGACAGTTCTTGGATGCTTCTCCTCTATCCTCCACCTCGCCACCTCCGGTTCCGACCTCTAGGGGATTTTCCCACCCCAGCGGGGCAGGCGTGCAGAGTCCTCTGGCCCCTTGGGGGCTCTGCGCATCCTGGCAAGAGGAAGAGTGCGGCGGGTCCACCAGCATAAACTCCAAGGCCAGGACGCTGAATCCCCTTAGCCACCGCACGGAATCAACTCGAGGACTGGGAAGCTGAGATCCCCCAGCCAGCTGCGGCACCGGAAGCCGGAATCACGGGGCCGGAAGTGTACTTCGCCCTGTGCAGGCACCACCAATGCTACCTCTCTTCCCTTTCTTGTAGCTTCCTCTCTAGGAATCGCGGAGGTCCCTGGTTCTTCGCGACCACGTTCCTACAAAACCCAGCTGGTGAGCGGAAAAGGAAGTTTGTTACTGTGGTTTGGATCTTAAATATCCGCCAAACACCTGTGTGTTAGAGGCTTGTTCCCTCACAGTGGCGCCATTCCCCAATGGTGGAACCCACAAATGGTGACACTAAAATGGGAAGAAGTTAAAGTTTCAGGGTGTGCCATGAGGGGGATACTGGGACCACGCCCTACCTCTTTCTCCTGAGGTGAATGGGCTCCTTCATCAGGAGCTCCCTCCCTCATGTGCTTCCTCCTCTGGCCCATGGGCACTGGACCAACAACCTTGGACTGAAACTTACAATGCTGTGAGCGAACCAAACCTTTCCTCTTTTTGATTACCTAGGGTATTTTATAGTAAAGGAAAGGTCACTAATGCACAGTTGTGGAGCCAGGATCAAATCACCAGCAAATTCTGGGTTTGGTAAGGACTGCTTTTTGCTTCAATTTTGGTGTCCTTTCTCTCATAGAGGAAGGGGCAAACAGGCTCCCTCAAGCCTCTTTGGCAAGACCATCAATTGCATTTACAAGGCTAGAGCCCTTATGGTCTAATCACGTCTCAAAAGCCGCACCACTTAATGGTACCACCTTGGGAGTTAGGTTTCCACACAAGAATGTTAAGGAGGCACAAATATAACTGCTGAGTTAGCCTCTCCCCCAAGGGGGCACAGCTCAGAACTAAGAAAAAAAAATGCCTTGGCTTTTGACTCTTCCCTGTGGGGAAAGAAAATCTTGGACTTTTTGAGGAAGGGGAAAATGGCAACACAATAATAGCAGACAATTTCAACAACCCACTTAACAACAGGTTATTCATTCAGACAGAAGACCAACAGATTCTGGGGTGAAACCATTATTTTAACCTTTTAATATTTAAAGATGTTTCACTGCTGAATTCCATTGTTCTGATAAGAACACAACCGTAATTCCTATCATTATTCCCCTACATGTATGTAATGGACATCTTTTCTCTAGTTGCTTTCAAGATTTATTTTATCTTTAGTATTAAGTGTGCAGTTTGATATGCTTAAGCTTTATGTGTGTTTATTCTTTTTTTTTTTTTTCCCGGTACCAGGAATCGAACTCACGACCTTGTGCTTGCCAAGCAGGCTCTGTGCCGCTGAGCTAAATCCCCAGCCCCTATGTGTGTTTATTCATCTTAGGGTTTATTGAACCTCTTTGGGCTGGATGTTGATTTTTTTCACCAATTTTGGGGAAATTTTGACCTAATATTTCTTCAAAAATTTTCCTATCATTCTCTTTCCTCTTTCCCCATGGGAATCCAGTTACATGACTATTAAACCATTTTATATGTCCACACGTCACTAAAATTCTTCAGTCCTAAATGCAGTTTCACCTCACCTGTATTACGCCAATATTAATTGTCCTAACTACTATGTATTTACTGTTTGTACCAGGGATTGAACCCAGGGCCTCACACATGCTAGGCAAGCACTCTACCACTGAATTACATCCCCAGCTCTACTATACATTTATCATATAGGTCAATCTTCTGCCCTTCCTTCATTTGACCAAAATGCCTTTGGATCTTCCCTTTTTCGTATTCCATATAAATTTAGCATAGACCGGTTAAGTTCTATAGAGCACACTACTGGGATTTTGATTTGATTTTCATTGAATTTATACTTTAATTTAGAAAGGAATGACATTTTCATGATACCAAGTTCTCCTATATACAAAATTGTATATACATCATTTATCTTTAATAAATAAAGCTTTATAATCTTTTCATTAAGGCATCTGTTGTGTTTTTTTTCTCCTGTAATTGTTTTTTTTTTTTTTAAGCACATTTTCATTTCCGTTTTTTGAGACAGGGTCTCACTGTGTAGTTCAGGGTGCTCTTCAATCACTAAGTAGGGTAGGCTGGCCTCAAACTCAACGCGATTCTCCTGCCCAGTCTCTCCAGAGCTGGGATCTTAGACGTGCGCCACCACGCCCACGCCCAGCTAGAAAGTACATTTTCTAACTTGTGCCGCTGGTGTGCATATCATTTTTTTTAAACTCAGCCACGCCGCTGAGGTATAATTTGGGTGGAAGATTGTTTTGGATTTTCTAGGTATGCCATCAGCATGCTCCTTAAGTTATGTATTTAAAATTGTTTTAATTAGGTAATGTAATCATCGCTAAACGTAAAAAGGTGTACGGTAATACTCCCCCCAGCCCCTTCTTTTTAACCACACGCCTCACAAGTAACCACTGTTAAGAATTTTCTTACGTACTTTGCCAGGGTTTCTTAGTGCTTACAATACACACAAGCAAATAAAATTTAAATTCTTTCCACTGCCATTAGCAAAATATAGACTTCGGCACTTAGCTACTCTCCCTTCGCGACGCGGGGGCGCGGGCGAGGCGGAACCACCGAGCTGCGCGGCTAGAGCGGCGGGAAGCCGTGGTCCGCGCGCGGGGGCCGCCGGGCCGGGCGCCCCCTCCTGCGGTTCCGTCCGAGGCCGGGATGTGGGGCCCTGTGCGTGTCGGAGGCCGAGGCGGGCAGTGGCCTGGTTCTTCCAGAAGCACGAGAGTCCCCGGCCGGGGTCACCGGGGCGCGCGGGCACACGGGCAACCGTGACGTGGGAGCCGCTGGGCGCTTGCTCCTCCGGACACAGGGTCAGTCCCAGCCTCTCCTCGCGGTACTGGACACGAGCTAGTACTTGAAGTCTGGTTGCTTGTTGGCACCTGGCCTGTAGCAGGGACTGTCTCTGTGACTCGCTGGCCAGTCCTTTAACCTCCTTGTGCCTTAGCTTATTGCTTTGTAAAGGGGGAGAATGATATGCCCTCCTTCGCTGAATGTTTTGAAGGTTAAGTGAGTTCCTATGTGTAAGGCATCTAAAATGGTCCCGAACAGAGCGCAAGCACAATTTAACGAAGTGCCATTATTATCAACTGTGGCACCACACTATTTTCAGTAAACAGTCTTAGTGACTACCTTTTTTTTTTTGGCCTTTTTACTGCATTTTAAATGAAAGTATTATTGATCAGTTCTCTTTGTAATGGATGGTTTCTATATTTTAGGAGGGAAAAATAAGATACGCTGAAGAAGAGCCTGACCCAAAGCGAAGACTCAAACTGGTTATGTTGAGATGCTCAAAGTCCCAGAGTTTAAAACCTGGGAATTTAAAACTTTGGCTCGAGACTCAGAACCAGCAGAGAGGTTTGTAACAGTGTGAAAAGGGACTAAGAACAGAACAGGGCTTACTCTTAATTAAAATTCAGGAAGGCCAGAGAACTGTACTATTACCTGGTATTAATATAGTACCTACTACATGCTAGGTGGCATTCTGATAATGTTATACCCAAACTTACTGAATTGATAATGTTATATCCTGATATACAATCTGATAATGTTACACCCAAACTTACTCACATTTGCTATCACCATATCTTTCAGATGAGGACAGTGGGGATACAGACGTGTGATTTGCTGAGCTCTCCCAGCTAATAGGTAGTCAAACCAGGATTATAAGCCCAGGAAGCCAGGCTTCAGCATTTGTGTTCCTAACCAGACTGAAGGGGCCCTGCAAGAAAACAAACAGAAGGAAGGAAGGGACAAGTGAGCTTCTGAAATGGGCACCAGCATCAGTCTGGCTGCCTGAGAAGAAGCCGTGGAAATAGTAACTAGAGAGCATCCCTGGTAGCTTCCACAGGAGCAGTCTCGGTGGCTTTGTTCATGGTTTGCTGCCTGTAGTGTTTTGAAGGCTGAGAGGTGAGGGGTCCTGTCTGCAGGGCTTTCTTTGAAGGAGGCAGGCCTCGAAAGAGAGAGAAGAGTAGCAGGTGGTTGAGGAGCAAAGAGCTGCTAAGGACCAGAAGCAGCTGCTGCCCTCTTTGGGGTCAGCACTTAGTGATGTGTTCTGAGTTTTTATTTTTTAGAGAAACTCAAGCCCCTCCAGCCCAAGTGGGGAAGCCCTTCTTTCAGCTGAATTTGTCAATTTCAGGCAGTTGTTGGGGTAATCCTCACATGAGTGCATGCAGCGTTTAAAAATTAGTCCTTTTTCTTTTGATCCAGGACCTGTCATCTTTTCTTTCTTTTTACCCTAAATTTGGTGCCTTGATCACAGGGAAGACTTACTGTTTGTTTCCTATTGCTGCCTGATAATTTACCAGACATTTACAGCTTGAACAAAATGGACTCATTATTTCCAGTTCTTGAGGTCAGAAGGCCAGACAGGCTCCGTTGAAGTCTCTGTTTTGGGTTTTGCAAAGCTGAAGTCAAGATGTTAGCGCTGAGCTCTTATCTGGAGGCTCTGGGATGGAGCTGCACTGAGGCAGGTGCTGGCATTAAGGTCCTTGCAGTCAGTGTGGTCAGCCTGAGAAGACATCGAGTCATAAGCAAAGACCTGGGGACTAGGGCAGCAAATCTTTGGGGCCGTATCTGAATTCAGCTAACCAGAGACCACGTAGCTAAAGGATCACTGAGTCAGTCGTGGAGAGGGGCTTCCTAGAAAGTCCAGGAAGTAGTCTGTCCAGTCTTAGTGTCTCACCTAGTCAAGTGCTCAGGGGCTGCTAGACCCAGCCCCTGGGATATTTGGAGAGCATTTATTGTGAGGTACGGGTTAGCGGTGGTGGAAAGAATGGTGCCGCAGAGGCTCTTGAATACAGAGAAGAAATCTGCACAGCTGCTCCCTGGAAAGAACCCCACCTCCTGGGCTGCACAGGGAGCAATTTGCACGCTTAGTAACTGACAGTGGTTTTGACCTTTCTGGCTTCTCCCGCAGAAACACCACTCGCTCCTCAGTGAGGCTGGTCGCAAATGATGGCTAGAGAACTGAGCGAACGTGCAGGCCTGGGTGCCTGCTCTGCAGAGGATGAAATGGGACTTGTGGTCGTGAAAGTGGAGGAGGAAGAGGCCACCGCCTTGGTGGAGGAGAACAGTGTTCTGGCCCCAGAACGCGCCCGCTTGTGTTTCCGCGCCTTCCGCTACCTCGAGGCCGCTGGCCCCCAAGAGGCCCTGAGCCGGCTCCGCGAGCTCTGCCGCCAGTGGCTGCGGCCCGAGACCCACAGCAAGGAGCAGATGCTGGAGCTGCTGGTGCTGGAGCAGTTCCTGGCCGCCCTGCCCGGGGAGCTGCGGGCCCGGGTGCGCACGCAGCACCCGGCAAGTGGGGAAGAAGCTGCTGCACTACTGGAGTTTGTGGAGGGGCAGCTGGAGGAGGCGCCGCTGCAGGTAGAAAGAACAGGTTTGGTATCTGAGAGCTGTGGTTCGTGCTGTCCTGAAACCTCTGGTTGGAGTGAGGGCATTCGATCCAGGAGGCGCGGTCTCTCTGTACCATGGGCCTTTTTGGAAGTGAGACAGAGTATTCTGGACCCTTTCTCAGAATGCTGTTTATACACAAGGAAAAGGTGAAGGATTGCAAGGAACATAATCCCATTAAACTTCAGTTAGGAAAGTATTAAAAAACTGTGATAAAGCTAGATAAGTGCATTTTATTGATGTGCTGAATAATAAGACCTAAGGATAAGGCTAATAACTTCTCATTTCAAAGTAGTTATAAGGGAGAATGACTTTGGAGATATTGCCCACTTCTAAAGTGCTGTAGAAATGTACACATTTTCTCTTGGGAACAAAGTCCTGGGACTGCTTACGACACATTGGTTTGTTGCTTCCATTCATAATTGGAGGAAGTGCTACGTTTTTCTTAGAGATTAGTTGAGAATAAGACTAGTTATTTTCCTAAATCCACCGGTTTTGAACCTCTGGTAGGAAATGGGCTGGTTTTACCTCCATCTTTCCTGTTTTATGAGCCTAGTCCCACTTTGTGGCATGCAGTGTCCTAGTACAGCTTCCCTCAGTGACAGGGCCAGCCTCCAAACCAGTAGCCAGGACAGCAGGGTTCTTGACTTAAATCAGTTGCACTGAGTTCTGTAACACTGAAGTCATTTTGAATCTCTTAACTTTGTTCTTTATAAAGAAAAGGGAAGCTCTAAGGTCTACTTGGGAGAGTAGCTTGAAAACTGTAATTTAACCATAAATGTCTGTTTAGACAGAAGCCTGAATGTACTGAGGACATCCCATATACCAAGCCCTCCGCTGGGAGACCTCACGTACTGTGATTCGGTTTACTAGTTCCCCCAAAGCCGTAAGTTATACTCACTTTTGGAGATAAGGATGATATTAGTATTTTTTGAGAATTTCCCGCCAGTTTTCAAAGGGTTTTCATAAAAGCACAAATGTGTACAAAGAGAGAACAGGGTGGCTTAGAGTGTGAGCTCCAGAGTCCTTCTACTGAGCTGCAGTGTTGTCAATATAGCTGAGCAAGTTGAATAAGCTACAGCAATGCCTAGGAAATGGAACGTGCTTACACGTAGCTTGATAGACATATTTCATGGATAAATAAAAGTCAGTGAATGTCTTCTAGGTCTCAAGAGGCCAGGGACAAGCACTTCTGGGTTGTAAGGCGGAACTGGTGACAACAACCCAGATGTCACAGAGTGGCCAAGTCCAGGCAGTGAAGCCTCTGCTCAAGCCTGCATCTCAGGGACCCAACCCCTCACAGGACACAGGTGAATATACCCTCCTGGCCTGTCTGATTTCTACAGGCCTCGCCCAGTTTCACCATGGGGACCCTGAAAGATCCACTGACATTACTTTTTGTGCTTATCACTGATCAACTGTACTTTGAGACTGAGACTAAAAGAGAAAATACTAATGCAGTGGTCAAGAGATTTCCTGACCAAACCTAGACGTGGTAAGATGTCCCTAGAATTTGGGTTTGGAAGGACTTGGTCCTCCATTCTTTCAACAGGAAGTGCTGGCCTCCCTTGTCGTAGCCAGTGTGTTTGGCACTGAGGATACAGCCTCCAGTGAGACAAAATCCTTCCTGGAGCTTCCGCTCTGTATAGAAGATGCCAAAGAGAATCATTAGTAACGCAATGTTAAATAGCAGTGATTCCTAAGAAGAAAACACAATCTGTAAAGTCAGCCAGAATATCTACCAGTCATAGGATGATTGCAGTTTAAATGACACAAATCTTCTAACCTTAGGATTATTAAAATAGCATGACGTTCACTTGGTAGGAAGACTGTCCTCGGGTGACCTCTCGTACCCGAACATGTGTAGAATCCTTGAGACCCACAGCACTGGGATGCCCAGCCAACATTCAGTCTTCATTTCCCAACAGAAGTTGTGTCCCTGACCACTTTGTGTCCCTTTCGGTGTTTCCCTCCTATGAGGAAGTCTCCAGTTCTTGACTTCTTTCTTGAATCTGAGCGAGTTGTGTGCAAGCAGACTCCCATTCCTGCCTTTCTGGGTTCGGCACTGACTGACTTAGTTTTTCAAAACCAAGGTAAAATGGACCCTCACAGCTTCTGAAGACATACTGAGCAAAGGTTCCACTCTCCCCTAGCAAAATTCACAGGAGATTCAAATGGCAGAGTTTTTTTGTTTTAATTCATTTCCCCACTCCACACAAGCGTGCTGCTTTCCTGCGTAGTTTTTACATCTTTCATCGTCACAGAACGCTGCGGATGTCTTTAGGCTCTGGGGTTAGAGCCAGTGCGGCTGGGCACATTAGAAAGGAGCACTTTGTATAAATTTGTGTGGCAAAAATTGGTAATGAAGTTTTTGAACTCAGATGCCCCATGGCAGGGAGGCTGGTGCCCGGGCAGATCTCATGCAGGGCTTCTTCCATACTAGTTGCCCAGGGAGGCAGCTGCAGAGAAGATGCAGTGGCACCTGACGGGCTCCCTCCAGAGTCCCAGGTAAGCCAAGTCCCCTCCCTCTCCCAGTGCCCTGCTTCCCAGGCAGCCACTGTCCTGCCCACCCCACCTTGGCCCCCATCCTGGACCCTCACCCCGGTCCTAGGGGGATGTGAATTTTCTTGTTATCCCAAGCTTGCTTATCACCAGCTACATGGAAGTGCATACTTCAGGGGCTTGTCCAGTTTTATTAGTGGCTTGCAGTATCGCCTGTGTTTCCCAGGTGCTCCCTACTGCATCTCTTTGGTCATCTTCTTCTGTTGCTTTAGAGGCTGCTGAAAATGGAAGACATGGCTCTAACTCCTTCCCCTGGGAGGACGCAGCTGGTTCCCTCCCAGGTGGACCTTTGCAGAGATGGAAGGCAGCAGAGTGGTGGCCACCCCGGCCCCGGGGAGACTGAGGGTCTCAGCGTGCTTTGCACTGAGACCTTCTGGCCCCGGCAGCCCGTCAGAGCTGCGTTCCCTCTTGTGCATAGAGTCACAATGACCATCTTTGAAACAGCTCCTCCCACCTCTCATCCAGTGTACCTATGTGCCCTGCCAGCGTTCTGGTCAGAGTGGGTGGGAGGGGACAGCTGAGGTGGCTAGCACAGATCTGGCTCAGAGGAGGTGCACGGCAGGTGTTGATTTGTGCGCTGGGGCTGCGGCTCAGGAGTAGAGTGCTTGCCGAGCACACGGGAGGCCCTGGGCTCAGACCCTCGCTCTGGGACAGAGTACAGTAAAATATATGTATTTCTTCCCTTTCCATTCATGTCCCAATGGCTGTTCTGTTTGGAGGCCCTGCCTCTCTCTGGGCACGGTCCAGGATAACATCCCTTATCTTTGGTCATGAGCTAAATTCAGAGTTTTTAGTCTGATGTTTCTTACGTAACACTTCAGAAATCCTTGCCCAGTTTACTGCCGCCTTCTGCTTGGCCCCTTCAGCATCTAGTCCTCAGTGTGTGGCCCTGCCTTTTCTTATTGCTTAGTGACCCCCCCCACAACCGAGCACCATGTCTCCCCAGCACAGTCCTTGGCCTCATCGCCCCACCCCTCCATCCCCACCTGCACCTTCTCCCAGTGCACTGCCCCACTCCCAGGTCTCTTCCTCCCCAGCGCCTTTACTCCTATCCGCATCCCTGCACTTCAGTCCTTGCCGTGCAGGGACCCCTGCGATTCTTGTCTCCCTGATGCTCGTCACAGAGCTTTCTTCCCACACAGGGCCTCACTCACCGTTGCTGGCCCTCGTTGTTTCAGGTGGTGAAATGCAGGCTAAGATCAGGGGCTTGTCTCCAGCTAAGGAGTGTCCAGGACAAGAGCCTGGGCAGACTCCGTGCCACCTGGATGAGGACACTGCCCAAGTTCCTGCTTGTGCTGAAGCTGGTGAATGGGAGGACAGGTTACAGAGAAAGCAGAAAAATGCTACAGGGAGCAGGCGGCACATTTGCCGTGAATGTGGAAAGAGCTTTGCTCAAAGTTCAGGCCTGAGTAAACACAGAAGGATCCACACTGGAGAGAAACCCTACGAGTGTGAGGAGTGTGGGAAAGCCTTCATCGGGAGCTCTGCCCTTGTCATTCACCAAAGAGTCCATACGGGTGAGAAGCCGTATGAGTGTGAAGAGTGTGGCAAGGCCTTTAGTCACAGCTCAGACCTTATCAAACACCAGAGAACACACACGGGAGAGAAGCCCTATGAGTGTGAGGACTGTGGGAAAACCTTCAGCCAGAGCTGCAGCCTCCTTGAACATCACAGAATTCATACTGGGGAGAAGCCATACCAGTGCACCATGTGTGGCAAAGCCTTTAGGCGGAGTTCACATCTCCTGAGACACCAGAGGATCCATGGTGATAGAAATGAGCAGGAACTTCAGCTTAGAGATTCCTGGAAAGGTCAGGCCAAGATGGAAAGCCAGTGGGAAAATGCTAAAACTCCTGTGTCTTATAAATGTAATGAGTGTGAGAGAAGTTTCTCTCAGAAAATAGGACTTACTGAACATCAAAAAATCCACACTGGTGAGAAACCCTATCAGTGTGATGTGTGTGGAAAAGGCTTCACCCGAACTTCATACCTCTCTCAGCATCAGAGGAGCCATGTAGGGAAGAAAGTTCTGTCTCAGTGACCCCATGTGTGCATAGCAGAGTTGGTGCTCATTTGTAATGGAATGGAAGCCACGTGGAGCCTTGCTGGCTACAGAAGTTGTGAGCGGAGTTTTATTTGCTAATACACATCATCAGGTGTTAGAAAATGCATTCTGGCTGAGGTAAATTACAGTTTAGAAGATGATCAAAGAGAACTGAGTTCATGGGAGGCTATGGGAGAGGTATTGGATGCAGTAGGACCTGAGTATTTTGTCCTCACCTACTTGAACTAAATTAGCCTCCAGATTCACTAATTTCCATCAGCCTGCACCTTATGATGTCCTGCTGTGACCATACATTTTCACTATAGTGAACCCACCATAATTGGTCAGATTCATGAAGTCTTACAATCCCCTCTGTGCCTTGTATACAGGTGCTAATTAACATTTATTAAGTGCACCCACGAAGTTACCTACATAACTCAAAGTCTGATGTTCTAGAATTTTGTGGAACCTTTTATCAAGATCAATTTGCTTGTATCTAAAGAATTGAGGTTGTAGATTCTGAATCATCCTATTGCTCTTTTTTGCCACACACACAGGATTGATCGAGTGGGATGAAGTTGGGGTAACTTTGATAGAATTCATTTTTCTTGCCTAGGAATTCTATTCGGAATGCCTTAAGCAGCTTCATCATTGAATCGTTATCAATGTGTGCTATCCATGAATTCCTTTCTTTTTCTCCAATGTTAATTGTACTACTCATGAGGAAGAAAGTTTCTCCTATTCAGTTGGTGTGAGCATCAGTTACGTGGTCAGAATAAAATTCATCTTCTGAGGTTAAGCATCTTTGTTCTTGCCTTTTTTTTCTCTTGTGCCTAAGCAGGAGCCCTCAAAGCTGCAGACACTATACTGCTTCATGTCCCTTGTCAGTAAGCACTGTGTAGTAAACTGCTCGGTTTACACTTCCACTAGGTCGGTAGATTTTACCAAATGGTATTTAAACCAAGTTTCAGAATGGCAATTTTAGTGTTTGACAGTTTTAATCTTCTTACATCTTAATTCCTAAGCCACTTGAATGGAAACAGATCCTTAATTTGTGACAAGAATTTTTATCATAAACTTGTCAGGGAATTTGGTTTGTCCTTAAACACACATTTTAGAACATCCTTTTCCTTTCTTCTTCCTCCTCCTCCTCCTCTTCCTTTCCCTATTCCTCTTCTTCCTTTTTCTTCCTTCTCCTCTTCTTCCCCTCCTCCTCCTCCTGCTCCCAGTAGTCCAAATTTCAGTCTTACGAATTTAAGTGAGAAAACCTAGTTTTTTAGTCTGCACTAGAGAAGTCGTATTTATTACATATCTTTGAAATAGAGTTGCTTTTTAAAAAGTATTTCAGGATGACTGATTTCTTGCAAACTTTTGCTAATGTACCACTTTTAGAAATATGGTTTCATTATTGCATTTACTCCTATTTCTCAAGTGGTTTTTAGCACCAGCAATTAAACCTTCTGGAAGTCAAATATAGCAAGGCATTCTGTTTATGCTTCACAAGTAATGGTTTTGCCATTGTGAAATATTCTCTCTTGCTAACTGTATTTTGTTTACTAGGAGTTGAGTCTTCTTGCAAAATCCTTTGTATCTGTCCAAGTCCATGTTTTTTATGCCAGTTTTCCAGGCTTGATACTTCAGAGTTTTCAGGATTCTAGCAGACACATATAACACATGCTAATATAAATTATTAGTATCATGTTAATAAATAATACAATTATTTTGAGTGACTTTAATAAAAATGCATCACTTCCAAACTTTCTAAATAAGAATAGTGGGCAAAGTAACAGAAATATGTGGCACATGATTATGATATCTGCACTCTGGAAGGCCTGAAGCAGGAGGATTTCAAGTTCAAACCCATCCTGGTTAACTTGGTTAGGCAGTGTTTCTAGGAAAGGCAAACAAAAAAAAAAAGGCTGGGGATCTAGTTTCATAAAAGGCCCTGGGTGTAATCCCTAGTACTGAAAAGAAAATATGTATGTGTATACAGGTGTGTGCACTTGAAGCAAGAAATGAGTATGTATGATTCTGGAAATATCCCAAGTTGTGTATTCTGTACGCTACAGATCCAAGAAGGGCCAATGTTGTGAGCTTCATTCTTAACACTGGTATTTTAGTCTGAGGCTGAGACTGGGAAGACCCAGTGTCCCAGCTCAAGGATGGTAGACAAGAGTATTTCTTCTCTGAGGGAGGGTCAGCCTGGTAGTTACAAGTAAATTTTGAAAAAAGATCTGTAATTTCATTGCCAGCCAAATTCTCCATTCAGGCATATCCCTCTTCCTCTACCATCAGTCACGATTAGAGATCTTTCCTACAAGGGGACTGCCATTCTGGATTGAGAGAGCTGAGGAGAAGATTCACTCCAGCCTGGGGTTCACACTGACTTTTCAGAAGTATTCCCTTGTAGCTAATCTCCCTGAGGCGTAAAACAACAATGTTAAGAGGCACTCTAAATTTTGTGTAACCTTTTTACTCAAGAAACTGGACAATGCATTGGAAACCAAGGTGGAACTTAGTGTCAGGAGGTGAACTATATTAGGTGAGGTGGGAGGGCCCCTCCCCACCAGTCTGGGCAGGAACTTTTTACAGTGTAGCAATAGCAGCCTCTGTACATATATGTAGTTCTGATGTAACTAACCTAAATCATAACCAACCAGACCGTAGAATGTTCATGTATACCCAACCTGACGGTACATGTAGTGTGTGCCCATGTAATGGAGATGAAAACACAAGAATTGTATGAAAGGGTGCAGCTACACCATGCTGGGCACTCGGCCTTTGGACACAAATCTGCTGAGTCAGTGCTGGCACAAGTAAAGCTGCTTCCTGGGAAAAAGGCCTTGGTATCCCATCTCTGTACATGAAAGTCCCTTAGAAAAAACACTGCACAGTGAGTTTCCAAATACTTAGCTAATCCCAAAGAATTACTAGTCTTTTAGTGTTCATTATTTTACATTAAAACTTGAGAGAAGACACTGAGCCTCCTCCTTTTGGTTTTCCCATTTAGAGAATCCCAATCAAATGGCAGAGAAAAAAATTCGAAACTTAGAGATAACCACGGCAAATATTTACTTAAAGTGCATGATGAGTGTTGGGGGTGTCGCTTAGGGTTGAGGGTTTGTGCTTGCCTTGCATAGGCCCACACTAGGCTTGAAACCCCGTACCAGCAAACAACTGTGTTATGAATTTAATAACAGAAGTAGATACTATTGTATTCCACTCACAGATTAACGGCACCAAGGCACAAATTAGATAATTTCCTCAAGTCACACGCTGTTAAGCGGATTCTTCATACTCAAGCATCCACCTATCCCTTTCCGGAGTCATGAGGCACATCATTTCTAAACTGAGGAGGCAAATCTGCTTATTCTCAACAAAGAGGCTCTCAGGGCCGCTCACATGAGGTGCCATTCCTCGCTTTCCCTGGCTGCTCCCGAGCTTCTGGCCTAAATTCTTGCCAGACTACAAGGGCTTGAAGCTCAAGGTGGGTTGGAAGCTTAAACCTTAGATGCCCCTCCCTCAAGGTCAGAAGGGTACAACTTTTGGCCCCTCTAGCCCACGGAGGTCTGGGTCTTGTTTCCTAAAGTGATGCTGTCAGAGTGGCCAGGCCAAGACTGCCATTAGGGGGTGCAGCTTTGTCCCCACTGACCCATTGTGTTGGGAGCTTACCTTAGCAAAACACCAGCAAACATTCTTGTGCACTTGCTGTGTGCCTAGCATTTTGAGTATGACTCACTTAGTCCATATAACTGCCTGTTTAGGTAGATACTGTTACCACCACTCTACCTGTGAGGAAACTGGGCACATATTAAATGACTTGCTTGCCCAAGGTCCTTTGCCTTGTACACTGAGATTCCAGTCCTGGCCATGTCTCTAGAAACTGTGATCTTACACTTGGCCTCAGGGACATGTGAGACATTTGGCTACAAAAAACTATGGTATCTAAATGGCCTCTCCCCTTATCCTAAGTCTAGCCCTGAAGTAGGCAGAACTACAGTGTGAGACCAGAGCAGTAAGATACAACACGCATGAGGAGGAATAATGGAGACTCTGCTGCAAATCAGAGGTGACAAACCTCCACCCAGACAGCCCTCTGCCTTGAGGAGGTGAGTGGCAGGAACAAGCTGACCTGTCTCCAGGAGGTCAGGCGAATTCAGGGAGCCTCAGCTGATGGATGGGCTTCAGGTGTGAACAGTGTGGGGCGTCAAACCCGTGAAACCGAGGACAATCACTGTGCGTTCCAGGCCAGCCTGGGCTGCATAGTGAGACGCTGTCTCAAAACAAAAACAAAATGTGTGAAAACTCTACTAATTATACCCAGGAACATCTGGAGGGAGAGAGAATACAAAGAAATTCAAAGAAAATGAGCTGTGGGAGGGGCTATAGTATGAGAACTTTTCAGTGTAATGGGGTGAATGTGGGGCAGATTACACTGAAGGCCATAAAATGATTAGCGCTAGGTGGAACGTGCACTTGTTGCATAAATTATGCTTTTGTGAAGGCCGGGCACCATTTGAACCATAACAGGTAATTTTTTTATTGTATTTATTTTATTCACAAGATATAAGCAAGACTTACATTCCTTTCCTGTTGGGACTTTTCTCTCCCAATAATTTTATATGGAGGCCCTTGAATGTATCAGTTATAAAACACATTAAGATGAAAATATCTTAAAATTTACCAATACAACCAGTACTTTATACAAAGAACTCTATATAGTTTATCAGTGTAAAAAATACACTGTGAACTGAATATAAAGAATGTTCAGTTATGTTATTTTGTAGAATTATTTTTCTCATCTCCCATCCTGATTTTTCTTTGACTCTCTGGAATGTTCAGAGATCTGTGAGACTTTTCCCGTCATCTCCCAGCACCATTCTGATACCTGTCTTCATTACTTTTTTCTTTCTTCTTTCTTTCTTT